TGGCTTTTTCAGCAAGCGGGACTGACCTAGGGTGAATTTTAAATAGGGAAAATTTTTTAAAGATTTTAATAATGTCACAGCTATAAATATTTGGTTTTAATTGGCTTTTATAGGGGAAATGTTTTTGTGTTGTTTTAATGTGCTGTGAGCCGCCCTGAGTCCCGTGGGGAGAAGGGCGGCATATAAGTTAGTGTTAAAAAAAAAAAAAAAAAAAAAAAAAGTCCTCTCAAGGAAAAACCAAAAGCTGGTAAACATTCCTTCATTCACAGTCTGAGCTCATATATATGTCTACTCAGCGGACAACCTTATTGAGCTTATTCAGATTTAGTCTCAGCTACAGGGCTATAACCTCCCCTTAATTTGACCACTTTACCATATGAAAGTTGGGTGCTGAAAATAGCATTTGAAAATTATGCAATAAGCATTTGATCAAATCCTATATCCCATTAAAAAAAATTCTAGGCAACATGTTTTTTTTCAAAATGTTTCCAAAATGTTACATATCAATAAATGGCCCTGCATCTCAGCAGACACTGCCAGTTATTGGATCTTGGCCAATATGACATAGTCTAACTATATATTGGTTCGGTGTCTAAGTTAAATATTTGGATCCTTAGAGCAACAGTGACCGCAGAAGTCAGGAATTTGGGACCTGACAGTGCTTATTGCCAGAAATCAATCTGAAATAACAGGCTAAGGCAAAGCAAGCTCTAACAGATGTCTTATCTGCAAACATACAAAGATCCCCAGACCAGGAAATTGCTAAATACAAACTATCGCAAAGCAGAAAAGTAACAGATTTTCAAATCCTGTTCCATTGATGACAAACTCATTTCCAAGAGTACTGAAAGTGATTATTCCTGTCCCCTTTCTTTAATTCTGAATAGTCATTTTCCTAAAAACATTTCCATTGTGAATGCAAATTCTTGTTGGTTGCTCAGACAGTGCTTACTTTGAGGTTAGCAACTAGACGATTACAAAATTTTAAATTAAAATCTAAATACAGTTTTTAGCAACCAAATAAGATAAATAAAAACAAAGTTCTGGCTCATTCTGGTGTGTAATCCTGTGTACCATTGGTATGTACCATTTCCTTTGTTTAGCATATAAGTGGAATATGACTATCTTGCCAGGCAAAACATTGTTTGCCCTAAGAATAAGTTCATACTGATATAGTATCTTAGACTGAGATCACCACAGTAGAACATATTTTTTTCACCCAAATATCATCATTTTTCTTTTACTATTCAATCAATCATAGAATGTCTATGGTACAATGCATATTTGCCTATTGGGGGGGGTGGATAAACTTAAATGTCACTGTCAGTTCCTGAATGAATTATGCAATTTTCCCAGGTGGTGGAGCGAAATTCAAAGTAGAATGTAATGTTCCTCATGTAAAGATTGGTGTAGTGTTAAAAATAATATTGAAAAAACACCTGGATATTTTAAATTACCACAAGGGACTGCGAAGAGAAAATTGGGAGAACAGAGGTCCAATAATGATCTTTATCCCAGCTATCTTTGCAAGAAAGCTCCATTTTCAAACAAAATGACTTGTTCTATCAGTGCATTGTTTTTGTTTCATTAGACAACTTTGTAAATTTTAAATTAAGTTAAACAGAACACTGGACTGTGATTTGATTTGTTTTAGATTTAATTTAAATTTTCTTTATTTTAAGCTCGTGTCAGTGATACTAAATATAGTTTGTAATTTCTGAGTTTAAAAGTTTGTCATACTTTCACTGTAGCTATAAGTTGATAGACTGTAAGCTGTACTTAGTGGTTTCTGTTTTTTTCATCCAGTGTACATGTTATAACCCTCTATATTTTCTCATTTTCTAGAAGCTGAGGAACTCTACCAGAAAAGGGTGTTGACCATAACTGGCATCTGCATTGCTCTCCTTGTAGTTGGCATCATGTGTGTTGTGGCATATTGCAAAACCAAGTAAACACCCCTTTTCCTTTCTCTATAATTTTGTAATCAGGACCTCACAAAACAAAACAAAGCATAAAAATGTATTCGCATCTTGATAACTCGATGGCTTAATAAACTTGAGAATTTCTCTGTAAGTTTGCAGGCACAGCTAGAATGTAGTGTGGTAATTTGCCGCAGCTTCTCGTAGGAAGTGAGCCCTTAGAATCTTAATCTATTTCATGATCATTGAGATCATTGCAAAAACATCCCATTTGCTTTAAAGGGGCTTCCACCTTTAAACTTGTTATACCACATGATATTACACACAATGACTGCGCTGGGCTTAAATCCAAGACTGTCTTTATCTTTAGCTGTGTGTGTGATGTGGCAAATCACACTAATAATAAATGTCAAAAGGTGCCTGATAAATGAAACTTGGAATCTCCAAAGCTTCTGCCCCCTCCCAATCAGTTGGCAACAATTGATGTTGTTGATATTATGGTTTATTATGTAAATAGAACCTAATATTGACTTTTTACAACTTTCAGGAAATGTTTTAAAGTTTTCTTTCACAATCATTATGATTATGTTTATCTTTCCAAATTAAAGCATGACATTTTTGTTCAGAGTGAGCTCTTCAGACAAAAAGGTTTCAGACTCAGAGCTGTGTATTGCTAAGTATATTGGTGATACATTTTTACAGGCAAAAATATTTACTTTAATGGCATTAAAAAAATAAAAATAAAAGACATACCCAACCTTCAAGGCACCTTTCCCATGGTTTCATATATCCATCTTCTGAATGGAGAGAAGTCAAAACTTTTATTAAACCTGTTAAGACTTCCAAAGTTTTCTATGTATGTTTTCCTTTCCCTATTGATACTACTTTCGGCAATTGTGGATTCAGTGAAAGTATTAATCAAGGTGATATCTAAGCCACAATTAATTTAATGAATTATAGGTGTGGAAATATTGGGTGTGTTTATCTTTCATTTTCCTCTTAGAGTCCCTTGAGTGCTTTAATAAAATGCAGAGAGGTGTTATGTATGTATCTTCTCATTTATAGAAAGGGCACATGCTTAGCTTAGACATAATAGGAAGCTGTAAGAATGAGCTAACCTGAACTTTGACCCTTTAGTCCAGCGGTTCTCAACCTATGGGTCGCGACCCCATTTGGGGTCGATCGAATATTTCACGGGGGTCGCCAAGCAAGGCTGTCCGCCATTTTTTTTTCCCTTTTCCGGTGGGTGCCTTACCTCCCTTGAGCTGGGCCAGCTGGTGGTCGGCCTGCTCCGTCTCTGCCGCTTGCCAGCTACGCCTCAGCCGGCGCAGGGGGCGGAACCGCGCATGCGCGGCTCTCCCAGGCAGGGAAAGTCCTCGACTTACGACCAGTTGGGTAGTCCTCAACTTACGACTGGTTTAGTCCTCGACTTACGACCGGTTTTGTCCTCGACTTACGACCGGTTTAGTCCTTGACTTACAACCGGTTGGGGGTCGCGGCATTAAAAAGGTTGAGAACCACTGCTTTAGTCCCTGACCTTTTGCTTTTTTAGCTCTGATGATGAACCAGCACATCCAATTTTAAAGAAACCTCAATATTCAATCCATGGAACCATAGTGCATAGCCCCAGATTTCTGTTGCTAAGGGAGACATTCATTAAGTGAGTTTCACCCCATTTTACGACCTTTCTTGCCACAGTCGTTAAGTGAACTACTGCAGTTGTCAAGTTAGTAACCCAGTTGTTAAGTGAATCTGGATTCCCCATTGACTTTGCTTGTCAGAAGGTGGCAAAATGGGATCATATGACCCTGGGACACTGCAACTGTCATAAACATGAGTCATGAGTTTTGATCATGTGACCATGTGGATGCTGCTATGGCCATAAGTATGAAAAGCGATCATAAGTCATTTTTTTCAGTGCCATTGTAACTTTGAACGGTCACTAAACAAACTATTGTAAGTCGAGGATTGCCTGTATACTGCCTATTTATGTTTTTTTTAAGTATCTCACTTCCCCCCCCCCAAGAACCACCTTCCAGATGTCACCTTAGCCAAAATTATTAAATAATACTAAGTTTTAAAATGCTGCTGACCCCTGATTTGAGAAAATCAAAATGATTCTAGTTCAATTATCTCTGTTTGAGGGTTTAAAGCAGGAATCTGGCCCAGTAATTAGATTTTTCCCCTCATATACTTCCTATCTCTTGAATGACAGGATGAATAGGTAATACTGTCTCTTCTTTCTCCAAAAACCTGTCCCTGAAGGGAGGGATGTCTGCTATCTTCAGTCTTCTGCAAAAGAGGGGTGTTATTTTCCTTTCCATACATGGGGATAATGGAAACACCCCCGTTTAGGTGGGTGGGGAGGCCTTATTTCCAGTCTTGGATAGGTCAAAGAGAAGGGGTTTTCTCCTCCCTCCTCTATTGAAAGGAAAACCAATATGTGGGGAGGATGCTGTTGTAAGTTTGGACTAATATCAAGCACATATCTTCAGCCCAGTTGAATGTGCAGCTAATGTAACATTCTCTCATCCATGGGGAAGGAGAGGTCAGTGAGTGATTCAGCAATTTTAATAAATGAATTAGTTGAAAAAGTTCAGCCAGTAATTGCTGCCTCTTTCAGAATCAAGATCATTTCTTGAGTCCATGCGGGGTAGAACCATTTTATTTCCAATATTTTTTTTATTTTAGAACAACTTAAAAAAATTGCCTATATCTTTACAGACAAAAGTAAACAGCCTAGCAGGTATACTATAAAAAAAACCAACACACAGCACACAGCTGTACAATTATTGGTTGCTGGCAGGCAACAGATTAGCTGGGGAGTTCAAAATAAGGTCTTCCAAAGGGTCCCTGTTCCGGATATATTACAAAGACCTAGCCACAGAGAATAAGGTTTCCAGTGTGCTGTTTTTGCCAGAAAACACAGGAGGGGCCAAAAAAGCTACTTTTCTAGAAAATCCTACTCCTCTGGATCAAATAACCTGCCCTTAGCTACATGTATTATAAGCCACTGGAGTACAATCTGCTTTCCGTAGCATCTTCATATGATACCATGATGTAATTGGCTACTGGATGAGATTGATTAGTTTCAGGATGCCAGATATTATATCAGGAACTTTATTTGTGAATAAATCTCCTCATAACTTTGGCAAACTTTAATACTGTTTGTCCATCAGCTCCTGGTATTTCTGAACTTTCAAATGATAAAATTCCATTCTGTAATGGGAATGTGCTATGGTCAATAAGGCTTGTAGATCTTTTTTTATTCATTCAACTATTTGAATACTAAAAGTATCTCCGTATTTCAAATTCAGGAAGCAGCGGAAAAAGTTACATGACCGTCTCAGGCAAGGCCTTCGATCAGAACGCAATCACAGGGTCAACATGGCAAACGGGCCTCACCATCCCCACCCACCGCCCGAGAATGTCCAGCTGGTGAATGTAAGTTTCACCTCAGCTTTGTTGATAATCGGTTCTTCATCGGTATGTATTTGAGTGACATTTAGTCCTTTTAATTTATTAAAAAATAGTCAGTACTGCTTTCCTAAGATCTTATTCTCTCACTAGTTGCAAGGGGCAAGAAACCAGAAAGCAAGGTGGTTCAAATGAATACAGTTTATTGCTTGGTGACACTCTCTGCAAGAATCTGAACTAATGGTCAAACCAAATTGGTGGTAGATAAGAGTCACTGGAAGTCAGGGTGGGCTGGACTAAGATCTCTTATGAGCCCAAAGGGACTCGAGACTGATGACGCATTTGACCTCTCCTTTCAGGCTCAGCCTGCTCATCTTCTACACCAGTTTGTCAAAACAATGGCAGTAGTTGATTTAACTGAGGGTGAGAGACAGGTTCCTCGGTCTATATATCAAACGAATAACTCATTGGGATCCCCATATCAAAACAACTTACCTTATGTGCGGCCAGAACTTGAAAATAACATTTAACACAGCACAATATTTAAACAAAATGGTTCGGTTGAGATCTACATATGTGCGACTGATTGGGGTAGATTGCAAGGGTGACTCCAAGATATAATTTTATCATATTTTATCTATATTTTAAATTACTGTACTCTATTTTAACTTCATTTTAGACTGTATTTTACTCCAATTTCATCTTAAGTCATATTTTATTCTAGTTCCATTTTAAACTGTATTTTATCAAATTTTATTTTAAATTGCTTTTATTAGACTTTGGTAATGATTTGTTGTTGGAACTTTGCACTTTGATATGGCCCAAGGGCTAATCAATAAAGATTATTATTATTATTATTATTATTATTATTATTATTATTATTATTATTATTATTATTATTATTATTATTATTATTATCTGAGAACAAGTGTGAGAACAAATTATATAATTATAATTATATTTAGATGATGGTGGGGTGGTTTGTTTGTTGTGGAGAAAATAGGAGGCAAATATATTAAGTATGTTCACTACCTTGAATTACTTGTAGAAAACACTGGATAAAAATCTAATAGTATAATAAATTATTATCCACAAAAGAAACCATTTTAATTTACATTAAATTAAATTTACATTAAAAACAGCATTGTATAATTGTATGAGATGTTATAAGGTTCAAATGAAAAGGAAGAAACATTTCTAAAATCAATAAAAATAGAAGAAATGGTTCACTCTAATGCTATAAATGCAAATAATAAAATACAACTGAAAAAACTACCAATAAACAGAAATATATTAAAAGCTAATACCAGGACTATAAAAGTACTTTATGAATAAAGTACTAAAAAGCTCACTTAGTAAGTACTATGTGAGCATGCATGTATATTCCTATATTTGTGTATGTGTGTATGTATGTGTATACTGTATATATATATACAGTATGCACGCATGTGTGTGTATATACAAACCTATTGGTGTTACTCACTGAGTTGAGGTATAAGTTGATTTTCACATTATGTTGTGGGATACTAAAGATTAAAGGAGTAATTTTCTGCATAAAACATTTGTGGCCACAAGAAATTTTCTGACTATTGTAGCAGTGCTAGTTCCAACCTATAAGTAGGAACCAGATGAAGTTGTTCTCAGAACCTTCTTGTAGCAAAATAGGGAAGATAGGGTGTAAGTTGTAGTAGAAAGGATATCAAAGGGAAATATGGGCTAGGATGAATGTGCTAGAAAAGTCATCCGAAATTAGAGTGGTTTTTTAAGCAAAAAAGGAATTTTTGTGGTGCTTCATAGTTCACAGATTTCACTCAACTGAGAGACCTAATAAGACGGTTCTCTAAACTTTCAGATTATAAATTGGACCGTTCTTATTTTTTTAAAAAATGTAGAAAGGTGAAATAGTTGCTGAGATCTGTTTTTTAAGGTTTTTCCTTTAATTGGTAATGAATATGTTTCTCTAAAATAGCTTTGTTGTGCTTTATACTCTGGACATGAACATGTAATGTTACCTTGCCAGTTAGCTATTGATAAATATAAATTTAAAATGATATTGAATACTACCAATTCTCTGTGGACCATGGATGTACAGTCTGCTGTTTATTTGTTTGGTTTTGGGTCTAAATTTATGTTTGCATGTAAGTGATCAACCACATCTGAGCTTTTGCTCACAAAACTGGACCCATTAAACTGTCAGATGAATCCTGGTGATGTAGTGAATATGTGAACCCTTTTCTCCCAGTTAAGAAAATTCAATATGAAAAACAGATAATTCAGATCTTTGCTTGTTTTAACTTAAAAAACAGTTCCTGGTGTTGGTTCTCTTGCATTCATTTCAGCAGAACCCATGGTTTTATTCTGCTTTCAAAATGCATTCAGGAGCCACAACCCAAATTTATTTTTTTTAAAAGCAAAATCCATGACTATGAAGGAATATTTGAGGGTGGCTCACGATATATCTATGATCGTTTAGGTCAGGGGTCCCCAACCCCGGTCTGTGGGGTACCGGGCCACAGCATGCCAGCAACCGGTCCGCACAGACAAGCAAAGCCCCATCCATGGGATGCAGGCAGCACACAAAACTACACACTCTCCAGTCCGTGGAAAAATCTCTCTCCACGGAACTGGTCCCAGTTGCCCAAAAGGTTGGGGACCTCTGGTTTAGGTCATTCTATTAACTTCCCCAGCAAAGTAAGAAGAGATGCCTGTGCCTTTGGATTAAGTTATTCTATGCCAGATTAAAGGGGATTAATGTCTGTTGGCTAGGACAAAAGCTATAAGGACATGTTCTCAGAAGTTTCCTTCTCAGAGGAAATATGCATACAGTATGCATATTCTCTCTCTTGTAACTCTGAACAGTCACTAAACGAACTATTGTAAGTGGAGGACTACCGGTACCAGCAGCCCACTATTTATTTTCATTATTTCAGAGACATCAGATGACAGCCAAATTAAATATTTTGAAAGGCTAATTCATAAAATTACAGAAAAATTATACTATTCCTATTCCTAATCCATTTCATAGAGAACAAGGTTAACTCCCTGTCACTAAAGTTCAGAGACCAAAGATTACAAAGAGTAAGATTGCAAAAATACAGTGAGCAAAAAGAAGGAAAAGGGAAATCTACCACTCGATATCTCCAAATCTACCAATCTATAGTGCTCGGCAATAGTCCTATTCCTACCCGTGAATTCCATTAAAATAGATTTGTTTTGGTGAAAGAATTCTGGAGATAATAAACTACTGTTTCCAATGAATCTACTTTAATTTGAATTAATTCTAGGAAAGTGTCTTCTCGTGAGAATAAAGTGGCAGCTAATTTGAAAAGTACTACAACTTCAATTTTTGAAATGCTTTCCTATGTATATATAAAGCAGGGGTGTCCACCATGACAACTTTAAGACCTGTGGACTTCAACTCCCAGAAGTCCCCAGCTAGCCATGGTGGCTGGGGAATTTTAGGAGTTGAAGTCTATAAGTCTTAAAGTTATCAAGGTTGGACATCCCTGATATAAGGCAAGAGTACAGAATTGATTGGTAGATTTTAATTGTCTTATAAATATGTGTTTCTGTTTTGTTTAGCAATATGTATCTAAAAACATAATATCCAGTGAACATGCTGTTGAGAGAGAAACTGAGGCCTCTTTTTCTACAAGTCACTATACCTCAACTACACATCATTCTACAACCGTCACCCAGACTCCCAGCCACAGGTAGGAGGCTCAGATAAAGCCAACATATTTTTTAACTGAAACCCCAGAGCAAGTTTTAAAAACACTAAACGGAATTATTTTGATTTAAAGGTGACAGAACGTTTTGTAGCTGAAATGCTTTAAATTGCTTTATTTTGCTTGCTTTATTTTTATTAAACTTCCTTTATTTCTTTGATTCTTTTTCCTGATTTATTTTTCCCTTTGGAAAGAAGCAAGTCTCAGTATCAACATATGAGTCCGCCTTTTCACAATTGCTGCCTTATTTTCTGTGGACTTCATATCACACCATTAACTTGCACTTACAGAATTAGTACTACATTTGAACCACGATGAGTTACTGAATTTACCTGGAGCATATCATTATTCTTTCGTGTACATAATTTGGCTTGGCTTGACATAGAATAATCCTACTCTCCAGCATTGTTCATTATGTCATAACAGTAAAATTTTGAAAATGATGTTAGTTTAAGATTGAGTGATTATCTTTTTATATTCCCAACAGTTGGGGGAGAATGATCACCTCAATTCTTCAGCAACATAATGAATGTAAAAACACTTATTTGGCAAAGCGATACTTAGAAGACGCTGATGTTTTCCATGTCAGACTCTCTTTCTTTTCACTTTCTTCTTCTTGAATTTTAAAATGTTCTCTTCTGTTTTTCCTAACGGCTCGTGGTCAGTTGGAGTAATGGTCGGACCGAAAGCATAATCTCTGAAAGTCATTCGGCCCTTGTGTGCTCCTCAGTTGAGAACAGCCGCCATGCAAGCCCGTCAGGACCTCGGGGACGCCTCAACGGCATTGCGGGACCAAGAGAATACAACAGTTTTCTCCGGCATGCACGAGAGACACCAGACTCTTACCGTGATTCACCGCACAGTGAAAGGTATCCGTATGAGCTGACCTTAAGAAGGATACCAATCTGAAATACTGTAGGGCATATCCAGATCCTGACAGAGAAAGAACGGCAGCTTGAAATCTTAATCAGGGTTGGTGGGTTTTATTTTGGGATTATTATTTTTTGATCAAGAAATTCTAAACTGAGGTTTTGTACATTAATATTTACATAATAATTTGCCATTTCATAGTGTTTTGGTGCTTCTGCGATAGGTTTTTTTTCCTTTGTTGTTTTTACAATTAATCCAAGTTTCTTTAAAGCTGCTTCCTCATGATTTATAGCACTGTGCCAGTGTACGGAAACTGGCTTATATCACCACTGCTTAATCCTAGAACATACCCTTAGTTTTGCATGGGAAAAATGGCCAAAATCATCTTCACCCCTGCAGCATGTGGTGATCAATGGATGCAATTTATATTAGAAGTGTGGAGGAAAAATACAATTTGAGTGGAGAAGCAACCACAAGAGCAATATAACTAGACAAGAACCGAAGGTGAATATTTAAAAGGCAGTGCTAAGTGAAGTTGCATTCTTTTCCATTTAATAAGATTTTTTTAAAATCAGCTATTCATATCCTGTACCGAACCGATAGGCAAGCTAAAAGCAGCTCTTCCTTTCAAAATAAAGACGAGAAGGTGAACAAAACTCTACTATTTGGGACAATACCAGAATCCATGAATCAGTATAGTCTTCACATATTTACTGTATACTAGTTTTGCACACTATTAATTTCTGATCAAATTAAGAGATAACTGGATTGTGTAGAATGTTTGTTTGAATTGGCTAATTCCTTCACCTAATCGCATCATCTTGTTTCCTTTCTGAAAAGCAAAGCTGATCTGTGCTTTTACTGATTCCTAGTTGATGAGGTACAGTAGCACAGAAAATAGAATGCAAAAATAACAAATGAATAAATAAATGTAAGTAAGTCATTCTCTCCTCAATGCCACTGGTACTGTTTGGCTACTTTGTAATAGAAGCAGTCTGAAAGGTGGAGTCCTGTTGCTCTACAGTACTTACATTTGCTTTTGGACCAATTTTTAAAGTATAAAATTGCACAATTCCTTTTTAGTTATTTGCATTTCCAGGCCATTCTGTGAGCATTAAAGTTTAAATGTTTAATTCTCTAGAGTAGCTTTTATTATCTGTATTTCATCCCGGGTTTTTTTTAATAGCTACAAAACCTGGAAAAGTGAATGAAAAGTAGGAAAATGAAAGTATTTGAATTTTGCATGTTGACATTGAAGAGGCCCAAAACAAGAAATGCTGAAGAACATCCAAAGTCTTCTTGGCTTTGTGTCTTATTCCCAAATGGTCATGTAATCTTTCTTAATCCTAAATTTTGGATAGATGCATTCAGTGCAGTTGCTTGCAATAAGATGGAAATCTTTTTAAAAAGACAATGAAGAAGGAAAAAGATGCAAACACTGTTTTGTTTTTGTTTGTTTTTTAATCTCTGCATGGCTAGTAACAGAAGCCTCGTTATATCTTTAGAAATCTGAAGAGACTCCAAGGCTGGAATAAATTATAGATTAAAGTGAGTTGTATTGCCAATATTCCATCTTTTCAGGCACTGGATTTACATGTTGGAAATCAAGAGACGTGAATAAGTGATCATTTAATGTTATTTCAGCCCAGAAATTTAAAGTTAAATTTCAGTAGCTAGTAGCTATTTGTAGAAGTTGCATCTCTACTTATAGAATGTGTGGCTGTTATGTTTGAATTCAAATACTTATTACTGTCATAGAAAAATGAACACTTCTTATCACCGTCATAGGTCTATCATATCCTTATTCTTCAGCTTATTTTTTTTTATGTGTACTTCTTTAGGTACGTATCTGCCATGACCACGCCAGCTCGCATGTCTCCTGTAGATTTCCACACTCCAAGTTCTCCAAAATCACCAGCTTCAGAAATGTCTCCACAAGTCTCCAGTTTAACAATATCTGTCCCATCTGTAGCTGTCAGTCCATTTATAGAAGAAGAGAGGCCTCTCCTGCTGGTGACCCCACCCAGGCTGCGGGAAAAATACGAGCTTCACTTACAACAGTTCAATTCTTCTTACCACCACAATCCTGTCCATGAAAGCAACAGTCTACCACCAAGTCCCCTGAGGATAGTAGAGGACGAGGAGTATGAAACCACGCAGGAATATGAACCTACACAGGAGCCTCCAAAGAAATTAGTCAACAGTCGGAGGGCCAAAAGAACAAAGCCCAATGGCCACATTTCCACTCGATTGGAAATGAACACTGACACGAGTTGTGAGAACAGTAGCTCAGAGAGTGAGACAGAAGATGAAAGGATAGGTGAAGACACACCTTTTCTGAGCATACAAAACCCTACAACCACTGACCTAGAATCAGCTGCTGCATACAGGCTCACTGACACTAGGACTAACCAAGCCAGCCGCTTCTCAACGCAGGAAGAATATCAAGCAAGATTGTCCAGTGTAATAGCTAATCAGGATCCCATCGCTGTATAAAGGAGGGGGGAAAAACACTTTAAAAAAACCCACATAGATTCACATGTAAAACTTTATTTTATATAATGAAATACTCCATGATTAAATTAAAACAATTTATTTTATTTTAGCAATTACGCTATTAGGATTTAAAAAAGAAAACCCAGGAGGGGGGAAAAAACTTTTATAAATTAAATATATAATGTATATACAAAAGTGTTATGTGCCATATGTAGCAATTTTTTTACAGTATTTCAAAAATGAGAACGATATCAACGGTGCCTTTATGTTATGTTGAGAGCAAGTTTTGTAAAAGTTCCTAGTGACTGCTGTTCCACAGTATTTCGCAGAAGTCTCTAATAGTCTGTTTCCCATCAGATTTATGGCGACTGGCTGTACGGTCTGTAAGAACTGCAACCGTCCCTGTGTTGCTTGTCGTAGCTCTGATAAAAGACAAAGAAAAATCCATACTGGCATACCAACCTAGAAACAAAACATGCTCATTTCTTCTTTGAAGAGGCTTCTATTTCCTTGCGTTTTTATGAGTTGCTCTCTGACAAAAACAAGATTTATTTTGGAACCCTTGAGAAAATGGGCAGGTCCAACAGCCTGCCATTGTCATGGTTTTTTTAAAAAAAGGATAATACAGCTTTCAGAAACGTAGAACTATATCCAATATTAGGTACCACTGTAGGTTTGTCCATTTGAATATAATTACCCAAGAATCTACTTGAATTTAAATAGGGAGCTATCATTGCTACCACCCACAACCTTTTCACTGAGACACACATGGACGTGCACGCACATAGTTTTGATTTATGTAACAATATTTCCTAGATGTTCACAAATGGTTTGACAGAAACATAGTGGGATCCAATCTAGTAGGAAGTCCTTCTATGCAAGCATCTTTTAAATTAATAGGATGGGTCCAAGAAAAAGGCGTTTCTTGTTTTGATGTCCTTTGTATGGGAGAAACTGCTACTGGATTATCCTGGCTTAAGTAAATCGAAGTACCACGGCAGGCATTTTTAGACCATCAAGGAAGTGGATAAAAGCAGAGGAAATGTAATGCCCACTGCTTAAATTAAAGTCATTTTGAAACAAATTTTTTCAGGTAGAGCACTCTTTTTTTTTTCCATTTTAGATCGGGACAATCGATAGCAAAAACTATGATTTCGCAGCGGGTTATCATTTCCTGCGTGCTTAAATTTTCTAGTTTACACATGAATGGAATCCAAATGTGGTAAAATGAGCTCTAATAGAAAAGGGTAAACATGTTCTGTATGCCTAGTGACCTATTATGTTTTTTAACCTACGTATTAGTAAGACGAGCATGTTTATACTTCTCAGGCTCCCGTCATGCATGGGTTTTGTTATATAAATATATTTATGCATGCGTCCAGAAATAGGTAGAAGCCGCCTTTCTTCGAGGCATGTTGGAGAAACAATTTGGACGTGATAAGAGCAATGCATTTGTTTAAACTCCAGTTTGGCCCAATCCCTTACAAGGGTTCTGCTTCTAGAGCAAAAACATCAAGGCAGGTGAAGGAAGCTTGTCTAAGTGAAATGAACTCCTCGGCGGAGGGGAATAGGAGAAGGGAGATACAGAGTGCTGTGCTGCAGATAGGAACAAAGTAATCATCTATGCTATGATTTTCTCCCTCAAATATGTAACCTCTTGCTCTGCCTTATGCATTATTTGGGCAGACTAAGTTCAAACAAACAGGTCTGGTATTTAATTTGGCACCAGCAGCAACATTACTGCAGCTTCTTAATTCACAAGCCAGTAATTTATTTTGGAGACCTGAATCTGGGACAAAATTAGCCTTGATTTATATCATACTATAGAGCGCAGCCCAGAGGCCAAAGACTAACAAACCTGTACTCTTAGCCTTCCTAGCATTGGCAATCATGTCCTGTTGATACTGTTGTGAATAAAAAGCAAAGTGGTTTGTATAAATGCTGCTGAGCTTTGGGAGAATCAGTGAGAAAAAAATTTCTTTTATAAAAAAAAAAAATCATGCCCAGTGCTCAAATTTACTTAATAGTGGTATCTTCACAGAAGGCCTAATCTGGAGAATGTTAACTTGGTTACTGAAGGCTAACAGGGCAATCCTAGTCCTATGTATCGGAAAATAATTATACAGTAGAGTAGACTTCTGCATAGCCCTGGTTAGAATCGCTATATAAAGTGATACTTACATTTCAGAAGCACCAGTAAAACACATTCCTATTATGCAACATAGGTTCACTGCGAGTTTCCATATCATTATATTGACTCCAAGTGGGTATTGAAGCAATCTGTTGAATATTGACTTCTGATTCATAACTTTATATGTCTTTCCTAATATTCACTTACAGGCTTCAATTGCATTCCCTTTCTCTATTGACAAAGTCTGTGTTTTTTTCTGCATTGCCAAAGAACCCCCTAAAGCAGGGGTGTCCAACCTTAGCAACTTTAAGACTTGTGGACTTCAGCTCCCAGAATTCTCAAGCCAGCATGATTGACTGGGAGTTGAAGTGCACAGGTCTCAAGGTTAACAAGGTTGGACACCCCTGTTCTAGGAGGTTCTTATTTCTAAAAAATTTCCAAATATCATAAACCCTTTTCCCAAACTCTGATATTTTGTAGGAACTCTTTGGCTAAGATGCCAAAGCAGGGACATTGTTTCTTAAGCATAAAGTTGGACAAACCAGAGAAAGTTTTCCAGAATGTTACCAATCCTTGATATTGAATGAGGATTCTGCTGTTAATATGCATTCTTCCTCCAGTAATATTTCTTCAGTTTTCTATTGTTTCAGATGCACTAAGGCTATTGTGTAGGCTGTATGGGGGAAAATAGTGAAAACAGGCATGTACATATTTCATGTAGAGTAATTGATAGGGTATATTGGGGCTCCAATATAAAAGAAAACAAAGAAATAATTTCAGACTTCAGGAAGGCTATTCCGACTCTATGGTACATGGTTTAGATTAAAAAGCATTTTGGAGACTGGACATTTCACCAGTCTTATGTTCTTCCAATAGTCTTCTGCACACATTCCTTTATTTTAAATACATTAATCCATTCTATTCCTGCCAGGGCAGACAATACTTCCACTACATTAATGTCCCTATGATCTCATTAACTGTCTTTTATATTCATTATTCCGAAGCTAAAACATGCCTATTCGGGACTGTCTCGTGTTCTCCTTTCTGTGCTTACCAATTCAAAACTGTAACCAATACAAAACTGATAGGTGCATCAACCTGATCTTCCTGCATTTTGGATGCGCTTCATCATTCCCAAAACTTTTCTTGCAGTATTGAAGGTGGGATTCCCCAGAGGAACCTGGGGAGAGAAAATCCATGCATTTTGATTGCCTTGTTAGTCTGTGCTGCTGAATCTCACTCTTGAGCTAGTGGACTGGGAAGAAAGCACTGCTAGACTCTTGTTGCATTTGAGCCTGTTGCCCTGGCCATGAGTCCTTACTAGATGTTTTCTTTGAGCGGAACTTAACTCCTGGTGACTTCATAGGCATAGGCAAGGGTAGTTCCTTTGATTACAATACTGCCTTTTAAAACACAGGAAAACAACTAATGTGGGCAAGGGAGAGAGTTTAAATCGATGTAATATGGCTTTAAAGAAGATCCACTTGCACGTATCTTGAAAAATGGCTCTAAACCAGTTATGATTCTACCAGAAGAGAAACGCAATTAAATTAATGGGGAGAAATCATGTAACTGCATTTAAATTCATTCAGTTAAACTTAAATTTAAATTAAATCAACTTGAATTTTTGCTCTGGTCCTAATTCTTTATTTTATGTTGGGTCCCTTCAGACTTTGGGTAGGGTAACTTGAGCTGGCCGCTCCGGCCAATGCAACCCTCAGTCCATAATGAAACTATGCATGCCCTGTTGTAATGGGTAACACTACTGTGCCACTTAGCTTAATATCTTACTCTGTTAATTGATGTGCCCAGATTAGTTTGTGCATGAATATTGCTTGATTTCTCATCACTTTGTAATGCACAATTGACTGAATTGTGTTAAGAGTTGGTTTTGGACAATAAGAACATTCCATCTAGATAATTAAGCTGTGGACAGTGCATTTACGGTTAGAAATCAATGCTGCATCCATGACAGATAAGTGTTAACCTCAATAGTAGTATGAAGAACAGCTATGGGTTATATAAGCAAGAATGGGTTACAAGCCATTCCTCTCAACAACTCCCCTTTCATAAAAAAAAAACTTTATGTAGAAATATCCAATGTAGTAAAAAAAAATATGATTGAAAGGCAATTTCAATTCTCAGGGCAATTTTGTTTTATGCATTCAAACTTTATTCCATAAATGTATTGAGCGTGGTATCTCTACTCACTTCTATTTAATCTTTAATTTGGAAAACAAAATGTTATGTCAAGTGAAACAGCAGTCAGAATTAAAAAAAATGCTCTTGTGAATGTAGCTGATGCTCGAGTTCAGTTCAGACATCTCATAATAAATAGTTTGGCATCTTAAGAAAATACACCATTTAAAGTTCTAGATTGGACACTGCATATATAGAACAGGGTATCCTGAGTCTCTGCACATATACATTTTCATCAGCCAACAATCTTGTTCCTTTGTAAGCTAAGCCATCTGAGCCACAATTAGTGGCTAATGGATAACTAATAATGTATAGTTCTTTTTTAAAGGTTGAAGTATCATCATGTCCATATTTTCCATGGTTGATATCAAAGTAAGAGGTGGCTACTTGAATATTCAGCAAGATGTGTTGATGTCTGTCTAAATTGCACATCTTTAATAAGCGACATAAGCAGAGTCTGTTTTCAGCTTTTTTTTAGCACTGGCTGAATTTTTAATAGCCACAATGGCTGATGCTCAACCAATCTGAAATGCTGCAGAGAAATGCAGGAAATGCAATGGCCACATATCATTTTAAGTATATATTATTTTTGTAAATACATCTTGTACATACTTGGATGTTCCATCACAATCATTTATTGTCTTTATGAGTTATATATCCAATATAACAG